ACAAACCAAAACCAACACAAAACAAGCAAACAAAAACTTCCCACACAACCTCAATAAGTCCCGTATATTCTAATGTCAACAAACACGCACACAGTTCCAACTGAGCACATGCACATCCCACGTGTGGCAGGCAAGGTTGTCATCTAAGAAGTGGAAAATTTCCTTCCTGACTTCCACGTGGAGAGCAGTTAATTCAGTAACATGTTTTATATTTGCTCATGTAAAGCAGCACACAGCTTCATTCCCTCAAAATGGATACTTAATCTCCTTGGTCTAGAATGAGGCCATGTTCTCACTCAACAAATAACTTAAAAAACAAAAATTACCAAGAAAAACCTATGCCCTTCCAGGGAGGAAGCAGAAGGTCTGATGTTACGTGCCCAAATGTCTAAGCGTATGATGCTACATGCTCATGCATGGGCAGCTAAATCACATTTTTTGACTGAGTGAACACCAGTTCCTCCCTCAGGTACTTTGAAAGAAGCCTCTCCTCTGGTGACTGTGCTTTTACTTCAATTGGGTTACTTAAGAAACTTTCTCCTTCCTCTATTTCTAACCGTCTAGCAGCACTAAACTCTTGGAAGCCAAGAATTCTAGCTCTAACTTCAACGTCTGTGTGGACTTAACTGAAATCAGACAGAAGGTCCAAAGACAGATACAATTAGTCTGGTCACATAATTCTCATTTCCTTGGAAAATCACATCGAAAGCTCTGTTCAGGAGTGCCTAGACCCAGACTTTGTGCACTGGCCCATAATTAAACATGGTTGTTATGCAGAAGGATGTAATATATTTTGGAATGTTTTGAATTAGTGTGTCTATAAAATAAACTCCTAAAAATACATCTAGACTGTCTATAAATTCTATCCCTTTATCACCTGCATTAAGGCTAGCACAATGGAAATCAGTTACCAAAGTACTGCATCTTTAAAGTTAAATTTGATTGCAATAAAAAAGTACTTTTAAAAGCCTAAAGTAATGTTAATAACATCAGATCACTGTTAAAATAAAGCACCTGCTATAAGCAATGTCTTGTATGCTAAGGTTTAAAAAAATGGAGAGAACTATATTACGTCATTTTCCACATCTTCACATGCAAACATGCAATGAAAACCAATAATTACTCTTCACTGTGTCTTCCATTTGTCCTAGCCACATGACTTCCTTCAGTAATTCCCAAGGTTCATCTTACTGTACTTGCTTTTGCATTCCCCTTTTCTGACATAAGTTAATTACCTGTCCTGTAAAATTCATTTGGCATTGTAGTATTCTTTCATTCAGAAAAATACTAGTTTTATTGACACACGCTCATGCTAGGGCAATTTTGTAAGACAGAAGGACACTACATTACTACTTACTGAAAGTAAGAAATGTTTAGGAGATGCAACGTGACGACCTCTTTCTGAAACGCATTTTTACTCAGTATTCTGTTTTCCTCCTTAGGAAAAAAGTAATTATTCATAGTGCTACAAAGATCTGTTGTTAATTGCAAACATATGCATTGTCATCTTACCAGGGTATTTTAAAAAACAAACCAACCCACAACAACAGGACTGAATTCCTATTCTATGATCTTCATCCTGAACAGCTATATAAAAAGGTCTTCCCAGTGGGCTAAGTGCATACTTTTTTTTTTCTTTAAATGCAAATAAGTTGAAATTTCTAATGTTGCGCTAAGTGGAGAAGGAAAATAGAGTGATTTTCAGGCAATATAGTACACATGTTAGTTTGGAAGATGATGGAAAAGTTGCTGTGGACTAATTTTTTTAAATCTCTGTCACGTCTCCAGTTCAGGTAGGCTTAAACAACTTTTTTCTTCTGCATATTTGTCCTACAGCAAAACCCAACATCATCCAGCAAGATGTGACTGACTGGTGCAGTCAAGCAACCAAGAAATATTTTTAAATCTGCCTTTTTAAGATTGACATATGGAATTTGGAATTCCACAAATGGAATGCTGTATTTTCCCTTCCTCCAACATCACCTGATTTCTTCCTCCTCCTGTTTGAAGTTTTATTTTCCTAGACTTTGACTTTAAGTTAATTAAAAAATATTTTGGACAGCAAAAAAAGAGCTTTCACTACTTCTCAGCTATCAGATGTTTTTTTATTTCTCTGTGCCTCACACGTACATCCCTTTTTTTCATTTATTTATCTTAATAATCACATTAACTCAATCACAACTTCTCAAAGAAGTCAAGAGACAGGCTGCTGTTAACTTCTATCTTGCTTTTTGACAGTCTCTGTTACCATATGGAAAGAAGCGTTTGTAAAAGTAGCTGATTTAGGCCCTCACAGAAGACTATCCTCAGAGACTGTAAATCATGCTGTACTGTAACTGGCTGCTTAACCAATACTTGATTTACCAATTTCCACTCTATGACATTGACAAAAGTGACATATAGATAATCGACCAATTCCAAATTGTGGAGTTTAGACAGGACTATAATAATTCCTTGAATTACTAGGTTCCTCAACACCTATAGGATTTATGTTTAAAATATACCCAAAACACGCTATGATACCTTCCAACTTCAAATTGAGGATGAGACAAAGTATCCCATGGAACAAACCACCTGGAATTAGGATCAAATTTGCCTGCTCATTTAAAGTTAAAGGTCAAGCATGACTATATAGATAAATACTTCATCCAAGCAACTTCTAATCAATACAAAAAAAAAACCCTTCCTGTCTCAATGCAGCATCTATGGTAAGTCAGATCATTTATTTAAATACTTGCAGTTGACAACAGCAATAAGAAAGCTCTTTAAATACCTTCTATAAAACTTGCTTTTATATGTAAACATTAAGAGGGTTAAGTGGCCTTTTTGGCCATTCTATACATATATGAGTTATATTTTATATGAGTTATTATATTTTCACACACGTCACACAGGGAAGACACAGTGCCGAACAATCTGTTCTTCACTACAAAAACATTAAATGAAGATATTCAGCAGCCAGAGAATTCCAGGGCCCACAGAGAAAAAAAACCTGACCTGGTCAAAGCACAAACTGTTTACAAGAAAAAGAAAAAAACAAACAAACAAACAAACAAAAACTAATAGAATGGCCAGAGGGAAACAAATTTTTCAGGGAAAAGAAGGTATGCGACCGAGATGGGCATATGAAAATGTGGAGGAGCACACTGGACAGTTTCTGTATGGTCACTGGACACACCTTTACAACACAATTATGACAGCAGAATCACAACTCCTCTGGTTATCATTGTTGCTGACAAGTGTTTTTCATTACAGGGCTAAGATCCTTTAATGAAAGGCAATTACAAGATTTATAGTACTTTGCATTATATCCATCACCTAAATGAAAGATTAAAATGCAGTTGTCTCCTGCAAAGTGACCGGAGTGACACGTGGTTATTTTCATGTTGTCTCTCAAGAGTTTCTCTCTGTGTAAGCAAAAATGACTTTGCTTCCCAAATGCCACTGAAGCTGAGCTTGCCAAACTGCGTTCTCACTGCTTAGCACTTTGTTACCTTTAATAAAGCAGCACAAGACCAAATTCTGCCTCTCTCCAACAACTGTAAAATAGCATTATAATCTTCTGAATCTGAAGGCACTGGCAGCACAACTATCACCAAGAACACAGTTTAGTCAAAATAGTGTGTTACGGGAGCGTATCCAGCTCAGCTCTCAGACCCCAGAACGAGAAACACTTTGCTGCTAATTAAGTCTTTGAATTTCGTTCTTAATGGCAAGGTAAAAAAAAAACAAAACCAAAAAATCAGCAAGAGGCAGTGAAAACATATTTCTTCAAATAGATTTTGATTATCATCATTATTCATCAAAATATACACATCTGAAATAGGATTAAGTATATCCACAATCACATTTGCTGTTTCTCTAACTGTCACCTTCTTAAGGATCTAAAGGCATTTTACAAACAACTTATTAAGCCTTAGAATATTTTTCTTACATGGGAAAGAACTACCCTAAAACCTCAGCTCTCTGAAGTCCAAAATTTGTTTTTGCTAACACCACCTGTTCTTTTGTGATAAAATAAAAGATTTTTAATTTCTCAGTCCTTTATTTTAAACAACATTTTCTATCCCTCTTCTCTATAACTCTAAGGAGAATAAACAACACAAACCAACTTAAATAATAAAAAATCCCATTATATTTTTTTTATTGTTCATATGCAATCATATCTTTCGAATGAAAAGTACGCTATCAATTGTATTTTCTTTACGTTGTACTTCAGTCAATAAACCCGTACATTCTACAAATTACTTCTGCCTTGATACTTCCTACATAGTCTTTCCTATCTTAACACTAAAATTTCTAAGATTTACCGAACTACTGGAGATCCCTCTTAATTTAAATAAATATCACCCGATAATTTGCTTACTTATTCTTCATGACACTTGAGCAACTGGTGCAACAGATGGATACAAAAGATGCAACTGAAGCAGAATTTTTTTTATACAGCTCTATAATCTAAGCACTGAAACAAAAATGTAATTGAAACTAAAAAACAGTTGGAGAAGACATTCTACATTTTCAAGTTATTTAAGACATAAAGGTTGCTACCAAATCCATAAAAGGGCTCTAGATGGTATGTTTCAAAGCATACCAGTATCAAGCAGATCTGATGTTTTCCTACAACAGACCCAAAATTCCTCATTCTGGAGCTCTATTGACAAACCAGGCTCTGTCTGCATATTCCTGTCATGCACAGACTAACTCTGCAACTTAGATTAAAAAAAAAAAAACACTTTTTTTTTTTTTTTGGCACTTATTGCCAGCTTGCAACTTTGAAAATTCTCCCTTCCTAGCCAGCTTCATTCTGTCCCCGACCACCCTGACCCTCTTTCCACTAGGAACTCCCCGTTCTTCTGTAGAATCAGACGGTGGGGCACCAAACTCCCCACAAGACATATGGATTTTTAAGGTTCTGCCTGTAGAAGGTTATGACTCAGATAACTTGTGTAAAAACTGAAATTTCACAAGCTGAAACTAGAATTTTCTTTGTACTTGCTTACCTCGTTCTCTTTGGATATGTACTGTATCTTTAGAGTATCCATGGCTCTGATCATTGCTTGCATGGCAGTAAATATGTTTTGGTAAACCAGTTTTGTGAAGCCTTTCCTGTCTTCTTCTGTATAACCTGATCCATGAATAATCCTCATTTGTTTAATGAACGTACTCTTGCCACTTTCTCCTGTGCCTGGGGAAGGGAGAAAGAGGAGAGAGACAAAAAGTATTGTACTTGCAAATCCTGGCAGTTGAGAATATTTGTAAATATACACACAAGGATGTACACCTTATCTGAGCATGCATAAGAGTCACCATTAACTGAATCTTCCATTCTCCATAATCTATATTGTTTTAGTCATAATATTTGCATTGCTGGGTGTGGGAGGGTTTTTTTGGTAAAAGATATATAAAAGTATCTTATCATAATACATCTTACAATGTTTAATCTAAGCATCCTATAGGTAGAAATCAGATTACTAAATAAGGAACATATGTGAGTATAAAACAAAGAATTTTTTTTGGTGTGAGGATCAAATTCCTCAATATTGAGAACTTTGTATGAAGTTTATGTACCATTAACACCTTAACAATAAAGCCTGCACTAAACCTGAACTTAGGGAAGAATTTTATCATTAGGCCACATTACTTAGTTTCATATTTTTACTGATTCTTATATAAATACTTAATGAAAACATGGTAAGTTAAATTACAAAACATGCATTCATTACTGTCAGATACTCTGGGAATTACTGACTCTATTTTAAAAAACCCTAACAGACAGATATTATAAAGTCATATATGAACTTACATCATTCATATAATATTTTGCAGGTACATATTTCTTTAATCTCATTTACATGACATAACAATGTATTTCCTAACATTTTTCAGGACGTGAGCCTTGTTCCTCTGTTCTTTCCTATTAGCCTTACAACAGAAACATGTCTGCACTGTTTCATATCAAGGATCCATTTAGGCAGTGTCCAGTCTCCATCCAAGTTTGTAAGTGGAAGCCAAGAGAAGAGTAAAAAGAGGGGCCAGAATATATGAGACTTCCTCCACAAAAACCTTGCTGTATCTTAAAAGTTAGGACTTAGCTTAGAAGTTCATTAGCTGAATGCTACCTAGTTGGTAGCCCTACTGTATCTCCCAAGTACTTGGGCAGGTCTCTCCTTAAAGCCATGGAAACATTTTGCATCCTCAACACATTTTAGTAAGGAGTTTCAGAGCTCTGTCACCCATGATACCTAATTTCTTCTGAGCCTGGATCCACCAAGTTCATTCCCGTTTCTTGTATTCAATAAATCTTTGCCCCCCCCCCCGCCCTTCTCCACAAACTCTTCATTTTAGACACCTCTATCTTATTGTACTGGGTTTGCATAGCAAGATTTAGGTAAGCCATGGGCGCTGCAGGGGCAGCTTCTGTGAGGAGCTTTACCCATGTCAGACAGAGCCAATTTCAACAACTCCAAGAGGGGCTCACTGCTGGCCAAAGCTGAGCACATCAGCTGGTAGTGTCTCTGTGGTAACATATTTAAGAAAGGGTAAGAAAAGCTTTGCAACAGCCATGTGAGAGAGGAGTGAGAAAATGGGAGAGAAACAGCCCTGCAGATATCAAAGTCAGTGAAGAAGGAGGGGAGGAGGTGCACCAGGCAGCTCTGCTCTCTACTTCAGAGCAGAGATTGCCCTGCAGCCCACAGAGAAAACCATGGTGGAGCAGGTTGTCCCCCTGCAGCCCCTGGACAGTCACGGTGGAGCAGATATCAACACTGCCACCCATGAAGGGCTCCACACCTGAGCAGGTGGACATGCCCTGAGGGAAGCTGCAGCCTGGGAAGAGCTCATGCAGAAGCAGGCCCCTGGCAGGACCTGTGGCCCACGAAAGGGACATGTGCTGGAGCAGTTTTTGAAGAACTGCGGCCGTTGGAAAGGACTGATGTTGGACAAGTTTGTGAAGGACTATCCTGTGAAAGGGACCCTGTGCTGGAGCAGGGGAAGAGCGCAAGGAGGGAGGAGCAGCAGAGATGAAGGGTTCTGATCTGACCACAACCCCCATTCCCCATGCCCCTGTGCTGCTTGGGGTGCAGGAGGTAGAAGAGTCAGAAGTGAAGTTGAGCCTGGGAAGAAGGGAGGGGTGGCGGGAATGTGTTTAAAGATTTGTTCTTATTTCTCACTGTCCTTCTGTTATTAACGGGTAATAAATTAAATTAATTTCCCTGAGTCAAATCTGTGATGGTAATGGGTAAATCATCTCCCTGTCTTTATCTCAAGCCATGAATTTTTTCGTCATATTTTCTCCTCTGTCCTGTTGAGAAGGGGGAGTGGTAGAGCAGCTTGGTGGGTACCTGGAGGTAAGCCAAAGTCAGCCCACCACACGTATTCACCTTGAGCTGTATTTTTTCTAGGGTGAAGAATCCTAACCAGGTCAGTTCAGTTCTCAGGTGGAAGACGCTCCATAACTTGATCATCCCTTTGACCTTTGTTGAAGCTTTCTCAGTTCTGTTTACCTCTGAGATATACGTAGAGTACCAAAGCTTCAAATACTAAGGTGCTGCCAAAACTTAAGATTTATGAAGTGGCATCATTGTGCTATCCGTACTGTAAGTAATTGAAAGACAGACAGAGTGCACGTGCTATTTGTTCTCCATCTGCATTATTTTATACTGATCTACAACTAACTTTACTGGCCATTTCACTGCCCAGTCTTGTGATAACCTCCTGCAACTTTCAGTCATACTTACAAACTTGACTAACACTTAGCACAAAAATTTCTCTTGTAATTGCTCAACCCTTTTCCCACAATACCTTTCATTTCCTCTATATTTCCTGTTATTCAGCATCAGTGTGACACGACTGAACAAATCCATTGCTATCCCACAGAACTTTTATATGAGAGGGCGGTGGACAGACTATTCTTGTTCTTCCCCAACTAAAAGATGGTACAGGACCAAAACAATACCTGCTATGCTTTCTTCTTAAAAACTTCACTGTAATTTTACAGACGTTTAACAATTAACATGCTTCGCTTCTCCACTAAGGATTTACTGCTGGTAAAACAGTGTCACCATTAACAAACTTCCAGTAATTTACACTTAGTACCACTAGGTATCGAAAATATATCAGCACAATTTTTTTGAAAGAGTGCCTCTGAACATTTCATTTTCAGATATAATAAAACAGGAAAATGCTGTGAGTGCCCACCACGTCATACTATATCTCAGTACCACAGCGGACCATAGTAACACTTTAATGAAAGATCATGCAACTGCAGGGCTCCAACCATTAATAGTAACAGCAAGCAAAGCCCAGGTAACATAGGAAAGTGTAATATTTTATGTATTTCAATACATTTATGTATTATGTATTTTTAATCAAGCAATAAGAAATATTTAATATTTTCTCTGCAAAAAGAAGATTAATATAGATGTTCTTTCAACAAATGTTTGGGATTTCTTTAATTCTGGCATTGTTTTGGGTTACTTGAGAGAGATGGAACATTGAGATATGATAGAATACATGTGAAACAAATTCCTGGAGGAATTTGTTTTAGTAAAATGCTGATGTTACATTATATGTCACAGCCCTCAGAATGGCAGTCCTGGCAATTTTAAAGCTGACTTTTTAAAGTCCAGCTTTAAAAAGTCAACATAAATAAAATTCAAATACAATTGAGTTTAAAAACAAAACAAAACCCCACCACCACCATTTTTTTGCTGCCAGTAAACCCCTTATACTTGAGAGCGAAACACTCTGATTAATCCAGGTTGCTGGCCTAAATTTTTATATAACTCAGAATAAACACTCCTATCACATTACAACAGTGCCCTCTACTAATGTTTGAGTTAAAGAAAAAACATTGTGCAACTATTAATTTCACTGTCAGGGATATACAACAATGCTGTGAAATCAAGTTTAATTTTGGCTTTTAAAGAAAGACTCTTTTTTCCAAGACCCCAAAACACCAAAGGTAGATGGAGCCAGGTTTGAAGAGAACATTATCTGTAATCCAAACTAGAGTTCTTCCCTGCCTGTATCAAATTTAATTTTTAAAGAAATTTAAGGTTAATATTTTATTATTATCTGATTTATTATTATCTGATGATCAGAGGGCTGGAGCGTTTCTCCCATGAAGACAGGCTGAGAGAGTTGGCGTTGTTCAGCCTGGAGAAGAGAAGGCCCCGGGGAGACCTTATAGCTCCTTCCAGTACCTAAAACGGACCTACAGGAAAGATGAGGAGGGACTCTTTATCAGTGAGTGTAGTGATAGGACAAGCAGTAATGGTTTAAAATTTAGTAATGAGTTTAACTGAAAGAGGTTAGATTTAGATTAGATATTAGGAAGAAATTTTTTACTGTCAGGGTGGTAAGACACTGGAACAGGTTGCCCAGACAAGCTGAGGGTACCCCATCCCTGGAGGCGTTCAAGGCCAAGTTAGATGGGGCTTTGAGCAACCTGGTCTAGTAGAAGGCGTCCCTGCCCATGGCAGGGGGGGTTGGAACTAGATGGTCTTTAAGATCCCTTCCAACTCTAACCATTCTATGATTCTATGATTTGATCTCATCTATATCAGCCTACAGCAAACAAAAATTGCCTATTCATGTGAAAGAGGTATGAAATACACAAGTAATAAACAGAGCCACCCTGCTATACCCCTTGATGTCTCATAATCCTGAATACAAGTTGATTTAAAAGCTTTCTGCTCCCTACCCTGACCTTAAGTAGAGTGCACAGTCTTCCTTCTGTATTCTTCCTTCCAGCAACTCCTTATGTGCCTAGCTGTGCCTCTTGTCATAAACCCAGAACACAGAGTCTCTGTGCCAATCCAGGAAAACATGTTCTTTGTTTCTCCATTCCCATAAGCCATCTAGAAAAATCTTTAGGGCTTATTAGCTTAAAATGAAACAAGGCTTTTGAAGCACATCTTGACAGAGCATCATTTTAAAGCATGTTAAAAAAGTGGCAGGGCTTTCAAAAAAAGTGAATATGGAGTAGTCATGCCGATATGCTTACTTGTGAGATATTAAGCTGAAGATAACTGCATTTCAGGATGGAACTGCATACACAATAAGATTTGGATTGAGTATCTTTTTAATTAAAGTAGCTGGAAAAAAAATGGAGACACACCAATTGGAACCCCCTTTTTAAGACTTCAGGCAGTGGGGCTTCAGAAAACGGAGCACAGTT